GGGGATGCTGCAAAAATCCGGGGGTCTAAAGCTAAAACTGAAGTAAACTAAAGCCTAAAGCAACTCCAAGTAGCAGTGTGTTACAACTCTGTTCCTAGTTTTTGCATAGACCTAAGGAGGGAGGGGAGGACTCTCCCCCTCGCCCCTCCCCTTTCCTCCACCCCGGAGTCTGTCCTGGATCCGCCCATGCGCACCGAACTCCTAGGGTTATGGTGAAGGCCATCAGAGATGTCCATTTTCGCGCCTCATTTTGAATTCAATTCTATCCAATTAACTGGACAACAGTTGCAGCGATATATATATATATAAACTTTCAGAATTCTTTGATTAGCTGTTGCTTGATTGTTTTGCGTTTCCTATCGACGCCGATGCAACTGGCAGTTTCTCCATTTCACGCTTCCCTCATCCACATAATTCCATGTAACAGACGTTTATTGTGCTACTCCACTTTTCCCTCCCTCCTTTTCCCTCCCCTCCTCCCCCCATCGTTCATTTATTTTAATCGTAGGAGAAAAACACATATTTTTTCACTTACAGTGTGAATTCCACACAAAACTGTTTACAATATACTTGTAATTAGCAGCAAATCCCTCCAGTACTTGTCGGCGAGGCGAGGCACGCAGATGTCCAAAAATAAATTTAGAAAGGCTCTCGGAAATGATGGCATTAACATCGAACTGATCAGATCCAGAAAGCACAAGATTTGGAAGCTCTCGCTATTCGGTTCGGTCGGTATTCGACCGAAAAAAAAAGAGAAAACATCTCGCACTTAGAAAAAGTCGAAAATGGTTCCGCTACAAAAGAAGAGCGATAAGGAAGATCTGAAGACTACCGCCGTCCTACTTGCTCATTCTCGCATATATATGGGCTGTTTACGAGGATTATCATTTGCCATAAAAAGTGAACAAACTAAAGCTGAATGCTTTTACCAGGCCGAAAAAAAGAGAAAACACCTCGCACTGGAAAAGTCAAAAATGGTTCTGCTGCACAAGAAGAGCGATAAGGAAGATCTGAAGAAGTACTGCCCCACTTGCTCATTCTTGCATATATATAGGCTGTTTACGAGGATTACCACTTGCCAGAAAAAGTGATCAACAATTCAGAAGTTAAATATTTTGCTTTAATCTCGTCATTTTAATGACCGATTCTTAGCACGAATGCTTGGTGATACGCTGTTGTTGCATAGTGCCAGTGGTCTGTTGCAGCTTCCTGAGTGATTCGTCGGCATTTTGTAGCAATCAGAAATCGATCGCGGTGTGAGGTGGTAACTTTTCATACTTTTTGGGTTGGTTGTTTCGATTATTCGTTTTCAGAGGGTGTGTTTTTTGGCGTATTTTGGCTTTTCTTACGTGATCTTTGATGCCAGTTTGACCAAATTTCGTGTTTTAACCAAATTTGATGGCTTTTTTCCGTGAATTTTGGATTTTTTTGGTTAGAAATTTTGCTTCTCTAAGCCAAATTTTGTGCATTTTGGCTCAGTTTTCCTCATTTTTCAGTGTCTTGACGCATAAAAAGAGAACCGTTGTCTAAGCTATGCCGCCATGTATTGTTTTACAACTTGTGCATTGAAATTTGGAAACCGTACAGTTGCAGAGCTCTATAACAATAGTTATTATCGCAACATAGAACAAATCTCCAGCCAAAAGTCTCTAGTGGCTTTCCGCATTTGCTTCCAGTGAGAGACGGAGGCACTCGGAAATTAGCCTGAGCAGTAATAATACGTCGTCTTATGCACGTCCTAGTTAGAGCCACCCAGTACCGATTCAGCCCCTACATTTCCAAATTCCATCCGCTCACAGGGGGCCGAAATGGCCAGTGGGGTCTTCTTTTCTTACGCGTTCCGTAGCAGAAGAGTCCAGGTGCAAGTATTGGTCGCCCTAGCCGCGTGTACTTCTGCTTGCGTGCTTTTACGTGCCACGAAGACAATAGGAGGGGGGTTTTTTTTCAGGGCTTGAGAATATGGGAATATCACGAGATAGCTGGCATAAACGTCGTGCAACCGGCGGAAAGAGGAAGCCGCTGCACAAGAAGAGGAAGTATGAGTTGGGCCGACCCGCTTCGAACACCAAGGTAAGCGAGCTCTGCTAGCCAATACACTTGTTTTCAGCTTTCCGCAACCATCAGACTTCCCTCTCATCTACCGCAGTTATGGTGTTTGCAAAAGGAACAAGGTGTTAACGGCAAGGAAACGAAGCTGCCGGCTAAACAAACCCCTTCACCTTGTCCAGTTGCCCTTCGATTCCATTGTGATATTGCAAATGTCCCGTCTCATGTGACTCGAGTTCCCCCCCTCCGTGATATGTAACTGATGCAAAAAACTGAACCTTTACGATGTGTAGGGCATTTTAAGCCATAGCTTCGGGATTGCTAGCAGGCTGACTACTAGACAAGCTAGTAACGGCTAAAATAGCTGGAAATTTGTCAGTTATATAAATAGAGGATCAGATTAAGAATCACAGGCTAGTGCAAGTATTGCTGTTGTGAAATAGTTGAATAAAGGGATTAGACTACTAAGTGTCTTGTGTAAGAAGACATTTTACGCCAAGCAGTCTCTCTGTTTCATCCCTTAGCTGTAAACACAAATCGAATTTTGCATGCGGTTAGGAGCGGGAATCATCAATAAACCGGAACTGCCATCAGCCTCCTTTTTAAATAGCAGAATAGCGAGATTGCACTAAGCGTCATATGTAAGAAGACATTTTACGCCAGTCAGTCTCTCTGTTTCATCCCTTAGCTGTAAACACAAATCGAATTTTGCATGCGATTAGGAGCGGAAATCATTAGTAAACTGAAACTGCCATCAGCTTCCTTTTTAAGTAAACCTTGGGCCGGGGGAGGGACAGCTGTCGTAACTGTGCCAGCATCTGGTTGCTTTTGTGGAAATGCTGTACTACACATCGTAAATGAATATCGCCCTTAGTTTTACTGATATTTTTGGCCACAATCAGAAGAAAATATTGTGTTACTAAGCGAAGGTACTTAAATTTGTGCGTGTGTTTTAGATTGGCCCAAAAAGGATTCATTTGGTACGTTGCCGTGGCGGAAATATCAAACGTCGTGCGCTACGTCTTGATGTTGGCACATTCTCGTGGGGTTCAGAAGGTTTGTGGGGGTTTTTTTTAAGGATTTCAGCGATCCATAGCATTTCATGATGTGATATAGGAAACTGTTGATACATCTTAAAAAAGACAGGCAGGGACGACATGCAACTTATCGTGAACGAAGCCCTTTGTCAAAAACCATTCTGGACCGGAAGGGAATCGAACCACTTCCCATCACGTCCGAATGCAATGTGTTGCCGCTACACCACCGGCCCTTGTGCCCCCCAAGTTTATCCTGACAGCACATCTACTGTGTATCTGCCTTTGCGCCTTCCTCTTTATTTTGTGGGAGCTTCTTGGCCGACTTTTCGTGGGTTTTCCATTCTGAACTCAGTATCGTTATTTTAAAAAGCGGAGGTGCCAGTTACATACATATCTCTGAATACTGAAACCTGACATAGTTACCCGACGTTTGTGTTTGTCTTAGTAGCAGTGATAACATCCAACGGGCGATAGGTATCAATCGAGAACATGCATATCAGGATAAAAAAGCTTG